CGCTCAGCTATCTCAGCTTACACACAAAAGAAATGAAACGACTGCAGTTTTTATCTGACATGACGTGACCACGGCATGATCCCAGTAGTCAATCATGTCTGGAAAACAGGCTTTATGTTTGTGTAGATTCTACAGGGCGAAACGTTTTTGACTGGCGACTGGTGATTTTATAAAAAAGGCTTAAGTTGGTTTTAGAAAGAGTTTTACGGCACTTGCCACACAATAAGGTCATGTAAAAGTCGAAGACCAGAGGTGTTACAAGAGAGTAATAAACACAAAAAAGAGCGAGGAGGGATAAGGACAATAGATATTTCATCACGAAGGAAGGAGCAAACCACTCAAGAGCACCCACTAACCACCCATTACAAAAAGATGAGGTGTATTTCCAACAGGTGATACTATTTGACTCGACACAAATAATGCAACCCGACGGGAGTGCAATGATTCCTGTGAAGGTCCTTTACCGAATGCTGGACTTTATTGTGGCTGGGGTTTTGTAACTGGAGGAAAATGCACACTGACAAGACTAGTTTGTTTTAGTAGAGGTTTTACGGCGCTCGCAACTGCATAAGGTCATATGAGCGCCAAGGGGCGGATGTCAACAGAGAAGTCCTAACAGGGAATCAAGACTTACTCTGCTCATCTCTCTAGCTTCAACAGCACAAGGTCTGCTTCGACTATCAAGGCACCCCGGAAATAGCGGGTCACAAGAGCAGGACAAACATACAAAAGAAGTAGAGGAAAATGACGATAGTAAGGATTAGTGGAAAGAAAAAGCAGCAGTTCACTGTTGTAGTTCAGGCACAGTTATGAGCATGACATTGTTGGATCAGCCCATTAACAATTCTACTGTGCGTTAGAGGGAGAACTCCCTTTTGGGAATGGCCTAAAGACACTTCAGTCAGTGGCACCGCCCCGATGGGTACTGACAAGACTACCTTGAGTTAAATGTAGCTGGGGGGGGGATGAATAATGGTAAGACTGCTGTGGCTAGGGTTATAAAATTATGCAGCTGGAGAAAACCACACAAAGACCCATCAGTTGGGCCTGCTTGTAGGAGAAGGTCATTGGTCATTGAACCGATTTGACGCCCCTTTCAACACTGTGAGGCGGGACCTCCGAATTTAACGCCAATGTCTACTACAGGACCGTGCCAAATAATGGAGAACCTTCAAACACGTGGGATTCAAACCAATGACATTCTCTTCAGGGTGCGAGATCAACCGTTGATGTACAGTGCAAAATAATTTAGATACTGTAAGAAAACAAAAAATCGTTGATTTCTCGAAACTGCTGAGAACAAGAAACAAGCGTTTTGTCAGCACACGGCACAGTTATTACCAAGTCCGTTATTATGTTTCTGTTTGTGTGACCAGGGCACTCAAGTCTCCTTTTGCTGATCTTGGAAAGCATATATACTGCTCATTTATAACAGTGTACTAACAATTAATAGCAAAAGTAATAACAACAACATATTTTTTGCATTTTGAATTTTATTAACTAAAGTTATTAATAATAACGATATTACAATAATTATAACCATGTTAAAAGACACATTTCAAGTACATTGTAAACATAAATTCAAGGAGGGAGGGGTCAATAAAATCAGAAAATATACAAACATTTAGTAGCATTTCTGAGATAGTCTAGAGTGTATAGTATACACGTGTGGGCGCACGGAATTTATATCACACAGTCATACAACAACTTAATAAGAGGCACATACAAAAGGCAAAGGCCTTCTTAGGTTCCATAGTATTTCTATTTGAACTTATAAAGTAATCAACTTTGGGACTTGTACTACTTGTAATATGAAAGAATTTTAATGCAAATATAAAGCTAAAGAAAATTAACAAAGAAACATCCCCATTTTCCTTGGTAGTTTATAACTATGAAATCACCAATACATACATTTACTTATTTTTTGAGCCGATAAAAGCAACGTCAGAAAAAGACACATACAACGTAATAGAAAGCACTAGCAGAAGACCAGAGAGGAAACCAAACCACAAAACATAATGGCAGAGAGAATATTTTCTCCCTAGCACTTTGTAGAGTTGTTTGCTCAAGAAAAGAACACCAAACAGGAGGACTCACACAAACACAGAGACACAAAAACAAACCCATCACCACCTTTTATACTTCATACTACCTTTCAAACTATCCATTATAAAACGCAAAGGTACGAGACACACCTTTGAGCGACATATATACTTCCTCTAGAGGGTACAGAACCTTTAATTGCTTCCATTCTGCATAAAGACAGAGACACACCCATCTCTGAAAGGTCTGATCCAAGTTGGTGAATAGCTGAAGGAAATTTCCTAAAGCAAATGAAGTTACAAAATGGTCGGCTGCAGATTTTTTTTTAAATGCCCACACCACAGTGCAGCACCATACTGTCTCCAACAGTACATGTGAAAGTAACACAAAGGCAGAGAAAAAAGACTGAGATCAACAATAAGTACAGACAACCCCTCCCCCCCCCCTCCTAAAAAAACCAACAAACAACCCACATGACTTGAAATGACTCCCTGGAGATCGATGTCTTATACATCTAATATATATATATATATATATGACATGAACTGCAGATTTTGGTAATGAAATTTGACACCATAGTTCAAAAGTCCACAACATTCTTACATTTTCATAAAGGGTACAGCTTTTGATATTTCAAAAGTGTGAAAAGTACCAACAAGTGAACATACTAGCTAGTTACAAAATCAATCTTGTCTTTTTGACAATTTCACAGAATTTTAGGACAAGATGCCATACCATACAGCATTGTGGTATTATAGTTCATTTCCAGCATGCTTGTTGTAAGGATGGAAGGGCAGTTCATAAGGTAAAAGTTTCTCAAGTCTAGGGAAGGAAGGACACACTGCACTTAGGACACGAGCTCTAGCCTTCAAATGGCGACCTGATCATGGATGGAAAGGGGGAAATCAAACACAGAAGATGGAACATGTACAAGGCTAAAACGTATTATTTTTTAAACTGTTTTGAAATAAACTGAATCTGTTGACCTCATTGGTGATGGTTTTAACGAAGATCATGGAATTTATAGTGAACAGTGGACGATGTGAAGCAACCTGTGGCTAGGTTCATACCCATGAACAGAAATCCTTTCTACCTTTATTATGTGGAGCCACATCAATGAATCACTACTGACAAAAGTGTACAATCCCACATTTGAGAAAAGAAACCAAATCATGAGCTGAAAGCTGATTCTGTGTATCTGGTGCAGTTTACAGGGATGTGGTTGGGTGGAAAGTGCGGAAGTACTCTACACAAATTAAAAAGACGGCCTTATGAACATTTTGTTTCTTGAGGCACAGTGCATCAGTTTGGCAGTAACATTTCATCTTTGAGGAGAAGTTCCATAAACGTCCAAATAGTGGAACACTTCTAAAGAACTGTGCTAACACCAAGAAACAGACAGTTGGTCTCTTGGCTTGCAAAGGACTAAATGTCTCATTCATAAAGAACAAAAAAACACCCAAAAAAACCACTAGTCAACTGCAACCCTATCATCGGAACCAGAAATTGGGTTTTCATTTTTTTAAAACAACAAACAGTACATATACAACAAACAGTGCCCTTCTGAATCATATTTGAAGCTATTTGCAAAAACATTTTGTATAACCAACAAGACAGAGAATTCACATTGATACTTTTTGGTCCAATTTGATGTGACTGATAAACGTATGGGGCTTGTCTTTGGTGGTAGAGATTTGCCATTATATCTCCCTCCTTCAACAAAAACAAACCGATCAACCAGAAGAGATCCAATTCTCTATCCAAGTTATGACAAGAATAAAAAAGCACTACATGACAAGCCATAAAACGTCTTAAGACACAAGAGCCTTTTTTTCAAGAGCAAGTGTCATACCCTTTCACGAAGTTAAATGAAATGGAAGATTGCAACTAAGACACTTAAGTGGAAATTAAGCAACACCCTTTTTTCACTTTCACATCTTCAGGGAGGATTTCTGCTGATTACCTCAAAAGCAAAACACCATTTGTGACAACAGAGAAAAGGTACCTGTCAGTGTCATTTGACTGTGATAAGTTTGCAGTGATCCATATTTCTCGTGTTCAGCCTAAGTGTGTGCTATAAAGGATATTTCTGCTAAAAATAAAGTAAAAACGAAAAAATAAAACAAACCAAAAATTATGTTTTCATAAGCTACCACTGACTACATGTCAAACTTTATGGCACTGAAACGTTAACAAGATCCATTACAGCGACCATCGAGAATCAAAGTGAAGTTCACCAAAAACAAAACAAAACCTCTTTACTCAAAGGCACCATGCAGACTTCAGGCGATTACCTCTCAGCTACTAACACATGCTTTCTTGTCTCACAACATTTAACCCCCCCCCCCTCCCCCATTTCTCCTTTATTCCACCATCAAAAAATGTCTGAGATGACAAACAGTCAGATCTTGGTTGGAATGTAAACATTAAGTCAAAATATGTGGGGCATCATGGTGAAACAGGTACTTGTCAAAATAGTGAAATTGAAGAAACCAGGTGTGAAAATTGTTACCAATTTTTTTATTTTTTTTAAATTATTTTTTTTTGGGGGGGGGGGGGGCTCACTACCTTTTAAGTCTGTTAAAAAACACATTTCTGTGTGGGTGTTACTGAAAAACGATTAAAAGCACAAAAAGCGTCAATTTTCAGTTTCCAAAGTCTCTCAAACAGTGAAAGTCACTAAACTTTGGTGGCCATTGTCTCACTAATTTTACCCATGAAAGCAGGAGATTCTCACCTCCTTCAATCACGAGCATCTCAGACTTCTATTCATGATAGATGGATATTTTTTCCATCAAAAGCAAGGCAAAGGAACAGGCTGCAAGAGTATACCAATAACTTCACACGCCCAAAAAATGATGAGCGCCTGATTCAACCATGTTGTGACACATTATTTCTCGGTCCTTATGAAAATGAATTGTAAATGTATAAATCCAAGTATTAATAAGAAAGAGACGGGTATTAAAAGTATGACTTTATCGTAAAATGTAAATATATATAGACAATATATCCCAAATCAAAAAGGTTAAAACGATGCCACTATCCATAACTGATTTCATGTACAGATTAAAGAATCAGATGAGTACATGATCTAAAAATTGCTGCAAGGAACAATGTCAATAGAACAAAATAGAGAACAAATTTAATACCCTAAAAAAAAGACTATATAAATACATGAACCACATATGAGTTGAGAGACATGCGCATATCATAACTAACTATGATACATATCATAATATACTTTATACCGGTTACTTTTGATTGATTTACAACACAATCAAATATTTGATTCGTGTTAAGAAACTTTTTGAGCTGACAAGGCACCATATCACAGTAAGACTACACATGTCCTAAACTTTATCCATAATTTTAAATATTGTAAATACATCAAAGAGGACAGAATGATTGAAAAGGCAATGTTAAAGTAAGGATAAAAACATGGGACCTGTTTCATAATTAACATGATCGATTTGATTTCTAACACCAAAAACCCAAACAATTTCCTTTATCACAGAATGGCTTAACTTTACTTAAAGATTTAAATTCAATTCTTAAAGTCTCCAACGCAAAAGGTGGAAAAACTATAGTTACAAACACTACAGTATTTGATTGTGAAATATGAAAATGTCAGATATTGCCAATATATGACAACAAAATTTTCTTTAAATTACAAGCCATATTCCCATCCACTTCCCTGACACAAAAGATACCAATATTATGCAAATTATGACTTCAAAACGGTAATAAAATCATCATTCTGTTCTTGTACCATGAACGTTTGTATAGGGAAATCAACTTTGCGTTGCTGCTTCAATTTAATATCACCATTATACATTTGAATAGGAATAAATGACTAATATGCGTAACCGTATTGACATGAAATACATAAAAATTAATGTCATGAAATAAGTATTCACCTTTGGAAAACATTACAACTATTCCTCTGTACACCCTCAGTATTGTCTCGGATCTCGTCTCATGGGTGACAATGATCGTGCGCGAGTGCGAATCTTGTGCGCCTTCCTTCGAGAGCGCTCTCGCGACCGCTGCACGATGGGGTCAGTGCCGGTGAGAACTCGGCGGAAGTCATCTGCGGTGCCATCCTGTACGTCTTGAAGAGCCTCCTCCAGAGACAGAGTGGTGAACGCTGTAGTATGGTGCGCCTCTATCAGCTTCTCCAGGCGTGTGATGATCTCGTAGTCTGGAACGGCCAGTGTGTTGATGTCAAGGCCAAGCATACGGGCCACCACCGTGCGGAAGTCCAACAGCTGAGGGGGACATAGGAAAAAATCATCATCAAGGCACAGTCAACAGGAGAAAAGTAGAAAGTTTCATCTGAATTTCCATCTTGAAAAATAGCTAATAATATGTGGAAAATGGAAATTTAGCATAAGACTTTTATAATACAGTAGTCTCTGCCTAAGATCCCGGTGCTCGGGAGCAAGGACATACGGGATCTTAGGCGAACCGGGATCTTAACCGACAAACCCAGAGAAGAATCTATGGTGACCCATGCTAAGGTTCACAATCGATAAAATGGTATCCCTCCACTCTAAAATGAACCGATGTGGCCGCTTGGTGGGTTTAGGACGTAAGGCAAGCAAAGAGTGGTTAACCTTGATGACCTATCACAGTGCATAGTGGAATGAGACGTGCCATTTTCACTTATTATCCTATCATGAATCTCAAATTATACGCTTATCCAGTTGCCCCTCCCCCTTACCTGTCGAAAATGTATAGCTTTCCATCTCTGACCGAGCCCCCCCCCCCCCCCCCCCGTCTGTCTCGCAAATTCGGGAGTAGAGACAACTTCTCCAATGGTCAGGGAAGAGTTCACAGTTCAATCCGTGATCCCACCTGGAGCAAACATGTAGGCCCTACCCACCCGGCGAGTGATGTAAGTTTAGGGGGAGAGCTCAGGTGTGAGTGCGATGTTCGGGGAAAACAAACGTGTCGGTCAGTTCACACCCCGGTGTGATCCCGTCTGGGGCAAACATTGTATCGCTTCATCGAGTTTTTCAACGTGTATGTGATCACATTCACGATAGTGGCTGATTTTTGACGCGATGGACAGTTTATTGATCTCAACTTTTCACTCTTGGTTGATCGGCTGTCCAGCCCGGTTTTTTGTTCCGCAAATTATGATCTGAAATGCGGGACCTTAGCCGAATGTAGACCTTCAGAGTGAATCAGAGCGGGATCTTATGGGTGACTTTTGTATAGTAAAATAAAAATTCTGTTTTCTTAAAACAGCGGGATCTTAAGCGAACCGGGATCGTAAGCGGTGGGATCTTAGGCGGAGACTACTGTAATTAATTATACGACAAGATGTGGAGTAAGAGGAGCACCTCACTAACAGGAAAGTTGTGTGTGTCTCCTGTTCATGGAACAGTGAACTATTTTCATCCCCTGGCCAGAACAGGGTAGTAACTGTGCAGACAGGTTTCATGAAGCAGACAGTCATTGCACGGATTGTATAAGTTTAACAATCTTTGTACCTTCAGCAGATTGAGAGATACAACTAGTCCACTATTCCTTTAACTGAAGTCACAATTTTCTTCAAGGGAGGGAATCACTGGTAGATCATATTTCTTAACTTGCCCTATTTTTTCTGTCAATCTGTTTTGATTCTTCCATCTCTAAATGATCATCATTGTGTCAGTGTGCTTCTGTGGACTCTGACTCAAGCAATTCTTTTATGAGATACAATTCATGAGTCACAAGTTTTCTGGTTTAGAGGTGGCATATTTTTTTCAGTACTTACTATACCTTTCCTGACATCATCTGTTTGGTACCCATTTGTCAAACAAAAGCCAGATTAAGCAAAAATTAGAACCTCAAACCTCCAAAGCATAGGGAACCCATCGTGCCTGCTTGTGTTTAAATGATTGTATACATTTGAAGCCCTGTTTGAGGCAAGATGCTCCTACTCTGCTTGTCGTAGTCAACTCAGGATGAGTAGGACACAGCATCCCAACAGAAAGATGGTGGTAATAGATGAAATCCTTGACTTTCTCAAGCAAGTATTCATCTCCTGTCTTCTGCATGCTTCAGAGAGCCTAACTAATACACGACAGAAGCCAGAACTTGTGTCCAGTTATTACTCAAACAACAAGTAAAAAATCACCAACATAATATTACATGTGAGGTGTGCTAACAAAAAGAACTACTCCTCACAATCTATGAATGGAGATATCAGCTAAAAATCAACACTGAGGTCAAATTTTCATTATATATATTTTCAATTGACGCCATTTTCTTCAAGTATAACTTGTCCCTTACTATTCTAATCACATAAATCGTACATTTGTAGATTTTCAATTGATGCTATATTTAAAAAGTATAACATGTCTCTTATTATTTAATACTTATGAATTGTACAAACTCCACCCAAAAATTTGACATATTTATTTCCATAAGGCTAAAATCTGAGAAGTAACTCATTCTGTCAGCACACCTCTCATATGACTCATTGTGCGACTACTCACCTGCTTTTCTTTGTACTTCAGGTTATCCAAAGCATTCTTGGTTGTGCGTAGTTCACTGCTGAGTGCCTGCACCGCATTCTCTGAGGCCACTGAGTTCTCCTGTCTGTTGTTCTCAGTCTCATCCACAGTCGACTTGAGCTGGGAGATTTTGCGTGACTGACGTTTCCGGATTTCTTCCAACTCCTCAATCTGTCGTGCCAGTTCGTCAATGTCTTTGCGCTGTTCAAGTGTTCTCACCTGCGGCAAGTTTTAAAGAAATGAGTTAATAACTTAATAATAATTTCAGTGCAATAAACAATACTGTCTTTCACATGCTACAGACATAATTTTGCTTTTCATGTCTTTGATAGGTGCACAATACTTTCAAAAGATTTTCTTTTACGCTGATACTTTTCATTTTCATATCTTATTAACTCGTTTTAATGAAAGTCAAATTACTTCAAATTAGTTTGTGTTTTCATATTCCACTTCTCACACAAATAACAGGGCCAGTGTTTTTAATAACAGGATAGAAAAAAGTCAATCCCTCCACTGAAGAATGTCTCTATCCTGGGGACACATTCTTTCATGTTCACACACTGGGGCCCTGTATACATTTAATATGTGTCTCTTCTCTGAATGAACGACACAAAGAAGTTGAAAGCCTCTTGAGGCCTTTTTAGTTAACAAGCATGAGATTTGGTGTATCTCATCTTTTAAATAAGCAAAATGGCCAAAACATGAGAAACTTCTCAGCCGACAATTATATACAGCTCCCATTCATGCAAAAGAAAAAAAAATGCCCCACATTCACTTTAAATGCCACAAGCCACAAGTAACACTGAGAAGACAGCAACATCACAACACCAAAAATGTTGGTTTTAGTTTTCTTAAGAGTTTTACGGCACCTGCAACATAATTAGGTCATATAAGTGCCGAAGATTAGAGGTGTTACTAGAGAGTACCATACAAAAAAAAAAAAACCAAGGCGGGGAGAAAAGAATGATGGCTGTTTAAGAAGAAACAAACTACACCAGCGCACCCACCAACCACCCACACCCAAAATGGGTCCCTTGGGTCAGTCAGAAGAGTCAAGAACCACCATTAGTAACTGATAGTGGCTGAACAGAATGAAAACCTGGACACAAGAGAACAACATTTACAACTGCATCAACAACAACATTAGGAGGCACTGGTTTTAGTTAAAATTAATTTTTCGGGTTGCAAATAGGTGCAACTGAGAAATTACTATCGACTCTGTTGTCCTCTTAATTTGTCATCCACACACACACATACACGCACATACACACACACAAACACCTGCACACGTATACACACATATACACCTTCACACACACCCCCACCCCCACACACATAAACACATAACAACAACATCAATATCAGCTCGCACAGAACAGCAACATACCTTGAGTTCCCCTGATCCCATCAGCTGTGCCTTGAGGTTCTGCACCTCCTGCCTGGAGTCATGTAGCTGGAGCTTGTACTTCTCAACCAGCTTCTCCAGCTTCTGCACCCTCAGGGACTCAGTCTCTCGCAGACGCTCGGCGTCCACCCGTCCGTGAACGCGCTCCTCCAGGGAGGTCATCTTCTTGCGCAGGAGGTCAATGTGCAGATCCTTGCTCTCAAGCTGTTCTTTCAGTGCCTTCACCTGCACAAAGAAGACAATGTGTGAGGCACGGGGCATCAATGGTGAAATCAGATGCTTGTCAAAATAATGTTACTCGTAGAAACTGGCAATTTTCCACCAATTTGGCAGTTTTTATAGAATTCTTTGTCTTTTGGCTCAGCACTTTTTGTGTCTATTTAATAATACAGTTATGTGTGGATTTGCCTAAAAAACGTTGATTAAAAGCAAAAAAAAAGTAAATTTTCAGGTTCAAGGATTCTCAAGCCAAGGAAGTCACCAAACTTTGGCAGCCATTTGTCTTAGCATTTCCCCATTTGTCTATTTGTTTGAGCTTTGTAAAACAAACTTTTAACATTTGTGAGGTATAAATTTAATTGTAAGAGCTGTTCCATGGACTCCAGTGGCTCCTTGATTTAGTAAGTTCACAAAAAATGACAAGCAATATCAAAGACACATCTTCCACGTCTGTGATCATGCAGCATGTCTTTTTAACTAATACAAGATAAATATAGTTCAAAAACAGGCTTTCCACTGTGGCACAAAACAACTCTTTTCTAATACCTGCATTAGTGTGAAATTGTCTATTTGTGGACACTGATTGAACCTCAGAATTATATTATGTATGCGTTGTACAAGCCAGCTCAACCCAAATTTCCACAAAGGGATAACTCAAGGCGGTATATTTTTCTCTGAGATTGTTTTCTTATCTACCTTGCGCTGCAGACTGTAGACATGTGTAGACTTCTCCGCCAAAGTGCCTGTCTCCAACTTCACCAGCTGCTCCGCTCGGGCCACAAGAGCATCCATGGTCAAATCCAGACCCAGATCAAGAGAGATGCGGTCCATCTTCATGATCTCTCCCAGCTTCTGTAAACCTCGCAGATACTGTGACACAAAGACAATGGCATCATGAGTCCACATAGCTGGTATGGATGTGTATAGTATAGTATAAGGTTTTACGGCGCTAGAAATGTGTGGCATCATGGTGAAATCAGGCACTTGTCAAAATAATGAAATCAGAGAAACTGACATGCCTGTCAGGCAGCTTTTATCAATTTTTTCCGGCCTAACACATCTTATGTTCTTGAAAAATACATTTTATGTGGATTTTTACTAACAAACAGAGATGACAGCACAAAAAAATGACACTTTTCACTTTCCAAGGTCACTCAAGCTTTGGAAGTCACTAAACTTAGCCGGCTATTTTCTCGTTAATTTTTTATCTGACACCAGACAACCTTCACCTCCTTTAACAGCAAATATCCAGACTTTTATTCAAGATAAAAAAAAGGCGATTTTTTCCATAAGAAAACAATACAAATGAAAAGGTATTGCTTTTCATATCTGCATATACACAATTTAGATCACGTGAGAGATGGGCTTTGACCTGTCCAATCAGAGCCAACCCAGGCTGAGAGGGATACAACATTTCAGTGCAAAGACTGAGATACTTGATAACAATTCTTTCCACTCAGGGATCAAACTTGGTTCTCTCGCACGCTACAGCAAAGCACCTAACCGCAACACCATAGGAGCCAGTTGTGGGTATGTGAAATGAGTGGCACTGAGCCTTTGGTTATGACCAGTCAGTACAATGACGATATTGTCCTGCAATGATGTGATTAGGATATGGATTATAAAAATGATCTGCATTATTATTATCACTACGATAATAGTACACAGTAAAGCAGTAGGATGAGCATATTGCTATAAGTCACCCACTTACTACATTTAGACCCCAAAAGAAGATAAAATAATATACAACTTGCAGACTGAAGTGATTTACAATAACCTTGGTTAGGACTTATCATTCTAGGCAATTAAACACAACTCCCATCGGCACTAATTTACAGCAGAGCTAAATTACACCAAACTGAGCACCAGAAGAAATGATTTTTTTTTACAAATAATGCAAAAACCAGTGAATGATACAGTACTGTCATCGAGGGGAGGTAACTCACCTTTTCTTTATCAAACTTGAATCCATCCCTGAGCACGTCCCCTGCGGACAGCTCCCCCTCTGCAATGCGCAGCCTCTCTGCCATGTCCATACTTTCCACCTCAAAGCGTTTTGCTCGCTGCGCCATGTCACGGTGGATGCTCAGTTCCTGTTCCAACTGCTCTGACAACTGTTTCACTCGGATGTCATAGTCCTCCGCACGCTAAGGAGAAAAAGTAAAGATTCAGCAGGTAAAAACTTGCATCATATTATTGTATCAGACGAAGAAATTATCATCTCTATAAAGACATTATTTATGAATGGGAATCTAATGTGAAGACAATTACCACCAAGGGGAAATAATGATCTTCATATTCTCAAGCAAAACAAGGCATTTTCCATTCTATAGATTACAACAATTTTCTCAAATAAGAGTTTGTTTGTGTACTTATTTCAGTCAGAAGAAAAGCGTACTAACCTATAAAAATCTGGTTACAAAAGAATTTTCAAAAGACAGACACAGAAGAGGGAAAGAAAAGAAGTCACATCTAACAGCATATTCTCCAACCACTAAACTGAAAACACTGTGGGAAAAATGCAACAATACGATATTCTAGAAAAGGGTTGTTTTCATTTTTACTAAAATCTTAAGTAATTCTTACAACTGTCATTACTTCAATCAATACTATAATATAATTCCTTTAAAGAAAAAAATTCTTGTAAGTACTTTACATACCCTATCAAGCTCCTTCTTGTCTTCAGTAATTCTTCTCACACATTCCTTGATACATTCTTCTGTTGGCACAACGTCGTTAAAGGCAGTGCTGAGGAGGTTTGCAATTTGATCACGGAAAAGCTTGAACTGGGTCCCTGATGTGTGCACAGAGTGAGAGCTTTCTCTGTAGTTGCGCTCCATGGTAGAGAACCGATCGTTGCAAAGAGCCAGCTCACCCTTGGTGGCTTCCAATGAACGCTGACCAGCATCAACTCTCTCTCGTAGGAGTTCAATTTCTCTCTCAAGGTCACGTTTTACTGCCACAGCATTGTCTCGTTCCTGTACCAAAATGAGCATAAAGTTAGCATATTTTTCTAAACAATTATTTTTGAACTACTGTTAGTTGCTACAAGTAAATTGTTGAAGCGTAATATGGAAATGCACAAATCAACATTCCTAAAACAGATTTTCATTTTCTTTGTGGGTACCTTCAGTTTGTTTTACTCAAAGCATAAAAGTTCACAGAAAGTCTGAAGATTTCTCAGATACAAATCAAATCTTTATACTTATTTTATTAACATTTGAATGAAATGTTTGCCTTTTGTTTTAGTAAGCTACAAAACGTAAGTAGATTATTTTAAAGGTGGAGCACAATGTCCAGCGGTCAGAGTAAATGAAAATGGAAGGAACAGAGGCAGAGTTTGTAAAACAAAGGAAACATCACGAAAGCTCATCAAAGCACAGAAGCTCATGCATATTATTCCTTCCACTATCATTCTGTCCCCGTGGTTTTAAGCATCCTGCATAATTTAGCAAAATTTGATCATTTTTTTGGCATAATTTCTAATTATTTTCCTTTTTCATTCTTTGTTAAAATTAACAGAATCGCACAATTTCACATTTTTGGGCTCAGCTTGCATAATTTCAGAATTTTTCCCGCATAAAACGACGGGGACAGAATCATTGAGGTTGCACCTCCAGCTGATAAACAATAGAGGGGGAGACACTTTATTGAATCTAAGATCATTCATGTTGATGTACAATGATGCTTTTAGTTTTTAGTCAAAGTGAATTTTACGGTACGTGCAACACAATAAGGTCATATAAGTGAAAATAAAGCTTCAATGATTTAATTAAAATAAGTTAGGTCATTTGAAGGAGACAAGAGAAACTGACCAATCTGAGATTTTCAATATCTGATGTGTATCTTGTTGTGATCTTCTGCTCTCGGCCAACTTCAGAAACGAGTCTCATGATAGTCTCCCTGCTCGCCTTGGTCTCCAGTTGGGTTTCGTTCAGGTGCTCATTCATGTTCAGGATCTTTCCTTTCAGCATCGCGTTCTCCTGGATCAGATCTGTGAGCTGCATGTATCAGGATAGAAAAAAGTTAGTATTTGAAAAGAAATTGGATTTTGGTATCAAAGTCAGAATGAAAGAGAAGCACATTGATGCTATTGAGTTTTTTATTTGGTGAATCAGCCCGATGGCAGCTATATATGTGCTTAAGGAGAAAGCTCACAATTATAGCAACGTTGAAGGAAGACGTGGAGTGACATCAAGCGACTAGCCCAGGATAGGGAAAGGTGGAGAGTGTTTGTTCGCGGCCTGTATCCTGCCCCAGGGTGAGAAAGGCAATGATGATGATGACGAAAGAAGTTGAAGGAAAAAACCACACCATGGAATTCACTAACCATCCAAAAGATAGAAAAAGTGCCTCGTTGAACAATAAGACAGTTTAATAATTTGAATTTCTGAAAAGAACAGAGACAAACTCAATTTCACAAAGATAGTGAAAATGAGAATGAAAGAGAATAGCAGCCCAACAGGGATTTTTTCTTTTTTAAAAGTAAAACATAATATTATTGCCATGACCTTCAGTATTCTTTCTTGGAAAGAGATGAAAAAGTGTAGTGAGGGCAACATATTGTCGCTGTCATGATAAAAATGAGAAACTCCAATGTTTTCAACTCACCCTGGAAAGCAGAGTCCAATAAAGTCACTCATTTTTCTTGCAACAACAATTCCCGGTACATAGATCAGTATCATATCTTATATCATTTTTAAAAAAACCTAAATTTACATGATTTTTAAAAAATTGCTATTGATATCTCAGTTTAGTTTTAGTAAGAGTTTTACATCAAATACAACACAAATAAGTCATTAAAGTGCTGAATATTAGAGGTTTTACTAGAGAGTAACCTGCAAAGAAAAAGGGGAGAAATAAGGATGATTGATGTTTGAAAGGAAAGAAGGAGCAAACCACACTAGAGTGGAAGTCGGCCACTAGTTTTACAGTAAGCATGAAAAGGCATACAAAAAAAGAATAAAAGTGAACACAATCATATATCCTAAACTGAATGTATAATATAACTATACACAAAGTTTCCCAAAAGAGAATCATTTCAAAATTATACAAGAAAGTAAACCAGTTTTTGGTGCTTCATATTAGAGAATCTCCAAGTAGTCCAAGTACATCAAGAAATCTAAATAACCTTGCCATTTGTTATTTTTAAAAAGAGATTTAAGTTCCCGGTGTAAGGGTGATTCAACAACAGCCTTCATACCTTTTTCAAAACAATGTCAATGGAAGACTGTGATGCATCAACGAGATCCTCAGTGTACAGAAGGCTGCTGAGCTGTACAAGGAAGTCTGAGAGACGTCTCCCTTCACTCATCAGCCTTGACTCAGAATGTTCTCTCTCTTCAAGTTGTTTCCTAAATAATATTAAGAGAACCATTAGATAAATTTTCATAAAACATAATCACAAAACACTTGAACAGTGCATTAAAAAGTACGTTGTTCCTGTAATCCAATATTGCTATTGTTCAATGATGATGTAAAAATCAAAATGATTGGTGTACTTCATTTTCCAAAATCAGTTGCCTAATCTACATAGAGCTTTAGTATATTCAATCAGAAAACAAATATACCTGTCGGATCAAATATAAAATCTTTCTTCCTTTCAAATCTTGTCTCTGTCCTTGACACTCACCGTAACCTTTGCTCCAGCTCAACAATTTTCTCATTTGCCTCCCTATTCTCTCGCTGCAAGGTGGAGATGGTGTACTCTCCTCTGTTAGCAACTGTCTCATAAGAATCGGCTCTTGATTCAAAGTCGGAGAGTTTTTCTCTCAAGGAGGCCACCATTTCCGACAGCCGACCTTCCGTCTCTCGGTTGTTTTCCACCCGTAGCTCCAATTCCCTGATTCTGACATCTTTGGCTTCTAATTCTACTGACAGCTCTCTTATCTGTGGAATAAACATACTGCGTCTAAAGTCAAAACATTGGAGCAGATCTCTTGATATAAGTAGTCGCATTTACCCCCGTGCCCTCACTTTGCTAAAGCTGTTAGCTTCTTTTCCCTGACTTGCCACCTGCACCACATAAGGCGATGCTCGAGACAAAAGACACAAGCATCCTTTCCCGTATTTCCTGAGAGCTGTCTCTACAATAAGCATGTCTCCCAGACAATCACTAATCATGTACTTGGCCAGTCTTAAAAAAGGACCAGTTATTTGCTCAATCCACTGAACTTATCCAACTCTACTGTTCCCATCCATCTGTACATATTTCTTGGTTTTTCATCCTGGTCATGAGGAGCCTGTCATTTAAAAAGTTTGTTGATTATCAATACATTTGAAGTGGTAGAGACAACAGAGTAACCTTTAATTCAAAGAAGGCGATTTACAATAAAGTTAAAATTTTGCCAAGGTAGATTTGAACCACCTTCTGACCATATAAATATAGTAAAGTTGTCACTTGTTTAAAATATAATCATAGAGTTGAGCACAGCTTCTCTCCCCACCCCCCAGCCTTTCTTCCATACTAGCTATTCAAGACATCACCGCAGGCAGGTTCGATTACTACCAATATTCCCTCTCTGATCTCTAAATCATGATTAGAAGTTTTTCTAAAATTAAAGTTTCAGGAAAACAGAACAAACACAAGAAACTTAAAACCAGCACGGCAATTTTAAGATTTTCTTTTTTTCCAAAACGGTGATGTTATTGAACTTCATGCAGTACCTCACTTTGCACAATTCTTTAAAGATTATGTATTCTCCAAGGACACAACATCAGACCAAGCTGAGCCTTGACCCCCAAACCCACAATCTCATAATTAAGAGTCTGGTACCATTAACACCAGATTATCAACCCCTGGCCAATTGATATAAGTACTTTGAGCATATTTATAGATAAATTAGTACTCATTTTTTTAATTCAGGAGATAAAAGAAACAAACTTTCTGATTTCATCCTAATTGCCGTAGCATAATAAACTTTGCAATTTTTCAAAACCATTTGATTTTTTAAACTTCATCTACCCTTTGCAAAGTCTTCACTCTGTATTAAACTTGAAATTTCCATAGAAAATCTCAGTTCTTATTGACAAAAAAAGCCTTTAAATCTGAGACAATTCATTTGAAATCACTACATCACAGATGTAAAAATTAACCTATTTCATTTCAGTTATCATTTAGACTAATACTTTTACCTGAAGTTTGAATGTATAGCCCAATACCTGAACAAGACCTAGAGATATTTTTCAATAGTTCTTTGTCCCACTCTTTTTTTCTCTACCTCCTTCTCTTATTATTCACAAATGAAGAAACATACATACACACTAAAGAGAACCCCTCCTCCCCCCAAAAAAAACCCCCACCAACAACCAACAAACAAACACAAAAACAAAGCCCCCCCCCCAAAAAACAAACAAATTTAAAAAAACAACAAAAACAAAAAAACAAACATAAAATGCAAAATAATGTAAATAACGTACCCTTTCCTGCGCTCTTTCAAATTTCACCTGTACGGAAGCGAGCTCTCCTCTCGTTGCTTCCACTGCACCCCGTTCTCCAAGGTACAGACTGTCGAGCTGGAAACAAAACAAAGCTGCATTCAGCATGAAAATAACAAGGATCAGTGTAACATTCTTAAGCAGAAGAATTTAATTGTAGTCTTAAGTAGGCTATATCAGAAACCATTTCACATATATATGGAAACGCAAAAAGCATTATAAACAGTTCAGAGAGCTCTAATTTCCTTTTTCTAAAAAGAAGACCAGTCGTACCTGTTAATATCCTTCACATATTCCACTTTTCAGTTTTAACGTTACCTCCAACCCCATAGTAACGCAAACCTAGAAATCAAAAATACACAAAAGAATGTTAAAAAAACACCTTGATGGTTATGGTTGCCAGAAGGAAAGGGGCTCTTCTAACGAGGAAAAATGATCACATATGTAAAAATTAGTTGCACTGCAGATTGAAGAGCCAGCAGTCAACTAGGACTGTGAGCTAGCTGGGAAACACAAAGAAGAAAGAAGACTTTGATGATATTATGACCATTAGTTGATGTCATTTTTTTAAGGCCATGGAGTTGGGAAAGAGCTGTTTGGCTTTTTTAAGGGAACATAAATATATGTGAGGCAGAGTGGTGAAATCAGGCCCTCGTCACAACACTGAAAGTAAAAAAACTTGCATTTTTCCGCCAGTTTGGGAATTTTTGTAGAATTTTTGTTTTTTGGCTCAACACCTTTCATGCCCTTTAAAGAACACATTTCTGGGTGGATTTTACTGAAAAACTGTAGATTGGAGACATAAAAGATGTAAATTTTCAGTTCCACGGACTCTCAAGCTAAGGAAATATCTCTACTTTGGCGGCCATTTTCTCGTTAATTTTACCTCTGAAATCAGGCCACCCCCACCTCTTTCAATTGCAAATATCTTGAATTGTATCCAATATAAATTGATATTTTTTTTCATTAACCACAAGGCAAATGGGCAGGCTTTAAGATTATACCAATAACTCTATATGCCCTAAGATTGACGAGCGCCTGATTCCATTGCGTTGTGAGATATATGTGAGGCGAGCTGACATAATGTGTTACTTCTCACAATCCACAAATGGAGATGTTGGCCAAAAATTGACACTAGGGTCAAATTTGTAGGTTTTCTTTTGATGCCATAATCTTGAACTATAACATGCCTTTTATTATTTTATAGGTATAAATTGTAAAATCTTCACCTGTATGCACAATATATATATATATATATATATATCTATTTCCATAAGGCTTGAATCCAAGAAGTAAGTAACTCATTTTGTCAGCACGCTTCAAATATGAAGATCAAACACATTTAAAAGTAAAATAAGCTTCAAGAACATATTCTGTAAAAATATGTTTATGGTTGTTTTTTTTTAATGCATTACCCTGTATGAATCTGGAGCACGTGGGACTTTTGGGGCAGAATCAAGGCTGACCAGGTGCTGCACAAGGCCATCTTTTTTCTTCACTTCTTCTCTCAGCGCTTTTACTTGGTCCTGTAGCTGAAAAATCAAAACATACAAAAAAGAGATTGCAGTATTTCAGTATCTTTTAAACACCCCCCCCCCAAAAAAAAAAACAACAACCCCACCTTCTCTTCGAATTGCTATTGTTGAGATGTGCTCACATTCCTTTGATGCATGTTTCACAAGACAGCAGGGACTATATATAGGCCTATATATATATATATATATATATCATTATTTGGGTCTTGAATTCCAACATCATTTTAGGGCCTACTTTGTAATTCAAAGCCAAAGCTAGGTTGGCTGCAGAAGCCTTGTAAAGAAAATTAACTGGATGATATAACATATGAAACTTCGGCAAACTGTCTTCTTGTGAAATATGCATATTTTTTTAGGAGTATAATACTGGAGAAGCAAAATAAATTGAAAAACCTTGAATAATACTTTTAACCCTCAGTTAACATTGGGCCAAGGCATCAGCTTCAAGAACAGATCATCACTAGTTGATTTGCAATGTTATTACATGCATTATATTATATACTGATGAAATGGATCGAGAGCACTATAAAATAATATATAGAATTAGGGAGATCACAAATTAATGTTTTTATACTGTGATACAAACAAAACATTGATTAACATTTTAGAATAATTCATTGTATAGTATGACTAGAGTCTAGTCCTCTTGCTGTTTTAGTCTTTGACTTTCTATGAGTATGTGTCCAGCAGGAAGAATTGGGTGTTTAAATCATACGTTTAATTACGTTTAAACTTTATAATATGCTTACTGACTGATTTCTCAACCGCAATACTTTGAGCAGATGAACAAGGGAGGATGAGTACTTTGAGTTTTTCATATTTAGAATACAACTTAAAATTTACAATCAATGCATTGCATTATATAGATCTAGAAATGTAATTGAGAAAAACACTGGTTGTCTGGGTAACAATAAAAATAAAACAATAGCACAGGTACTGAAACAATCTGTCTAATGAAATGGATGGATATAATGAATAGTAATGTGCACTGTCTAGCGTGGTGGGGATACAAAATATCTTTAAATTAAAAGAAAACCCTCAGGCCATTTCAAAACATTCACCAAACATGTGACAATATAACTATTTACCTCGCCAACAGCACGTCTTGTCTGACTACCATCATATTTCAGAATTCCAACTGGTGTGAGATTCGCTGCGTCTCGTTGGCGGTAAGCTTGTAATTCAGCTTCCAAATCTCTTATCCTTCTTGCTGAGTTGATGGCTGGTAAGCCCTGACTTTCGCGGCCTATGTTGATGTAACTCATTGCTGAAGTTTACTTGAACTAAAACAATATCTGCCAAAACAATAAGAAATTTTCAAATACAGAAACACAAGTCTGGGCCTCAACCCCGAAGGACTCACTTAGCAACGATAACAACAGTTTGACCCAAACTTCCGTTTTGCAGTTATCGGCTTTCTCGTGAGGTCACGAGAGTTTGTAACTGTCATTTAAGGGAGAGCACTGTCAATTCCGATTTTGTTGTCCTTCAAGAAGAGGAGACTTGACGAAAACACTGAAATCATTTTCGACAATTTTTGGGGGGATTTCTCACTTGTTGCAAAGCAAGCAGGAGCACCATGTTTTACAAATTCAATTCTATCACGCAAAATTTGACGTCAGCGTCACAAGATGTGTCCATGGGCCGGCCTGTTTCTGTCCAGGTAAGCAATCGAGCAGGCAGTCGAGTTTGCAGAGTTCGTGAGTTGTTAGTCATTGTTAGAGTTAGAGATAGAAGACTGCGGCGCTTTTTCGGGAAGGACTTCCGTAACGAGCGACCACCCCATCAAACACAATAAAAAAGAGACCTAACCCTAACCCTACCCCTACCCCTAGATCTGCCCCTACCCCTAGCCTAGCAATGCCCACCGAGTGCATTTTGTTCTGCCGATTTTTGGCCCCCGCCGCGGGGGTGTTTCGACAGTTTCGTGGGACAAACTAACGCAAAGGTTGTTGTCTTCAACTCGCTCTCACGCCGCTTAGCAATGCTTACCGAGGGCGTTTTGTTCTGCCGATTTTTGGCCCCCGCAGCGGGGGTGTTTCATGGGACGCATTAACGCAAAGGTTGTTGTCTTCAACTCGCTCTCACGCCGCTTCTCGTGAATGGATCTGAATGAAACTTGGCAGCCAATCAGAAAAGAGGTCAATCTCGTAGTATGCAGTTTGACAACATTGTACCCATCCTAGAAGCAGTCGAAAACGTTTGCGAAAGTGGTTGATGTGGTGCGCTTTGAAGATTTTTCGGAGCTGTGATTTGTCAAACTGACTGATACGTTGTACACCATTTTTCTTTATTCCCTTAAAATTTCAAGCTTCTGTGTTTAGCGGTTTTCGCGTAATCTTTAAAAATGTGGGAGTAACTAAGGGAAAAAGCGACATTGCCATTTGCGCATACTGGGTGAACGAACTGCTGCTGGGAAATTTCCACTGAGTGACGTCATCAGCCATCGGTCGCCTCGGGCGCTACAAACGAGGCCCCGCTTATGTGAACTGGAAAGGGGGGGAAGGATACTTGAAAACTAAACGGGGGCCTTGATAACTTGCGTTTTTGTTGCATTTTAGTTACAATACAATAGATGTAGTCATTTTTATTTGCTTGATTGCATGACAGAAGAATAGAAACAGAAAAGCAAACATCTTGAGAAGTGGTATGGCATTGTGTTTGCGTTATGAAAGCCTATTCCCCCCTCTTGGGAAAGCACACACTTGGACTCGTCCTGTGTGCTCTGTTTGGAAAAGTGAGGCATTAAGATTGTTATTAAAGAGTATGGTACTTATTTAGTCCAGTCTGGGAAGATAGTCCCGTTTATACATTGTTATCGTTCACGCGTGCGTGCGTGAGTGCGCACGCGTGCATGTGTGTGTGTGTGTGTGTGTGCGCGTGAGAGAGAGAGACAGAGAGAGAGAAGGGGGGGGGGGGGTAAATATGTTACATTTTCATTTATTGTATGAGTTGTAGCCTACACATGCGAAATATTCCCATGACTTGTAAACTATATTATCTGAACGCATCTTAATCTAACACACAATAGGACACTGTCCAACAATGGATATACGCAGAGACGAGGTCTTATTTTCTATAAAAAAGTATGCATGCTTTTACTAGTACAGAACTGGATTTATTAGTAGCTCTCTACTTACATTTTTGTGACAAATTGATCCAGAACATTGCTTGGCAAGGAGGAACCTTTTATGTTGCCAAGTTTCATTCAAATATCATGACTTTGGGAGAACATATGACTGATAATCTTTGTAAATCTGTAAAAAACGCAACTTTTTTACTTGTTAATGTCTTTACAACTCAAAAAGTATGACAGATATTAAAAATCTGACAGCATGACTAGATTCTGCATTAAAAAATGTACTAGACTGCCAAGTTTTATTTACATATTCCAAGAAATAGGCGAGGTATGACAAATATTGTCTCAAAACGCACCGAAAACCGCCACATTTTTACCTATAAACATCTTCATAACTCAAAAAATAGGATAGCTATGAAAAATCTGAAAGCAGGACTAGATTCTGCACTAGAAAATGTACTGGGTTGCCAAGTTTCTTTTAAATACTCCAAGAAATGAGCGAGTTATGACGAATATTGTCTCAAAACTCACCAAAGAACGTCCCATATTTTGGGCTTTTTTCATTATATAAAAGTGTACCAGAAATTAATTGATTAAAAAATCTGTAACTTTTTTGTTTATTGATGGATTTCAAAAATTCAAAAAGTTTCATGCTCTGTGAAGATAAAGCTACAAAATGCACCTATTTGCAACCACTTTCTGGCAAAAAAAGGATTTTCGTGGTCATTGCTACGCCGCTTCTCGTGAATGGATATGAATGAAACTTGGTAGCCAATCTAGTGCGTTTAGGCAGAGACTACTGTAATTCCTGAAGGCCACCTCTATTCTCACCTGGAGTGAGAATAGTGCAGGCGAGTCTTGTGGCTATTCTCACCCAATGCGCATTCACCAAATTTTGCGTTCACCCTAAACCACAGAATTCTACACTGTGATAACAGAAAAATTGTAGAATTCTGTGCCGTGAACAAACGTTCCATTACAATTGCAGCCTACTAAAAGCGTACAATTTTGTCTGTGGGCAGTGGAGAGAGAGAGAGAAAGAGAGAGAGGAGTAGCGCGAGAATTTCCGGGCAAAACAAAATGGCGACCCGTGTAGTTCGGCTCGATTCGAAAAGTTAAATAGCCGTAGCATCTTTGTAGACAACCAAATTTATTTACTTTTGTGTTTTAACATCATTTTTTAACTTTGTTTTGGTCAATTTGATCGCCCACACCGATAGACAGTATTCAGAAAGAGAGAGAGAGAAGAGGGGCGGAGTTGATCTTGCGAGAACTTACGGGCGGGTGAGAATAGCCACTTTCATTCCTGAAACAGCATTTTGTTGGAAGCCTTGTGTACTCTGTGTGCAGGAGATGTACAATATGGTGAATGCATAGATCACATGGTGTACTGATGTGTGTGGCTTTGGGTTTTACCCAGGCCCTATCGTCAAATTACAGTAATAAAAGAAGTTTTTGCTGAAAAATAATCCTTTCACCTTGATTTATCCGTGAAATACTTCATGTCAATTTCATAGTCGAAAAAATCATTATTTTTCAACAGGAAAGACAGACAGATCGAACATTCAGGGTGGTAGGCTACCTTTTTTTTATTGCCAGTATAAGTAAACAACATTTTCTTAAACTGGGTTTTCTTTGTTATATTTCAGGGATTATCGTCATCCATAGCAGAGACCCCAAAAACATTTTACGACTTTAAGCAATCAGCTGTCCCCAAAAAGGCTGAAGCCCGCCAGATGTCACAGTCAGCGGTGTCTGGGAAGTATCCTGTGCCAAACAACTCAGCATACAAGAAACTGATGGCGCTGCAGACCAGATTCACAGTAAGAATTGAGAGGAAAAGATGCCTCCTTAATAATAATATGATAGTAACTAAAGCTGTTTATTTTCGTGAGTCATCATTTTAGCATGAAGGTACCACACCTATGTTCCAGCAATATCATAAGTCGAGATTGATGAGTGCCAGCCATGTGTTGACCTAGCATCTGTGTTTGCCGCGACCCGCGAATCACGGCCGCGATTTTTTACATTTTTTGGTCCGCAAGTTTTGCATTTTTCCAACAAAAAAACCACCGCCGGAAAGATAAAGTAATTTAAAAACAACAACAACACCAAAAACTGAGAATAATATTCATGAAAAAAACAAAACCAATCCTCTTTACTTTTAGAAAGAAAGTTTATTTTCACTTTCTCTTCACTTAGTCTCTTTCTCACTTGTTAACGCTAGGTTGATTTGTAATTTTCATGTGAAGAACATAAGAAGGCTACCTTACATACTATTTATATATATTGCTGTTTCTCTTTCATTTTCCCTCTTTTTGTGTTTTATTTTGTTGGTGTGTTAATTATTTTTTTCTCGTTATTGTCTGATGTGTTGTTTTTCCATTTTTGTGTGTGTTTATATAGCGTAATGTTCTTCCTACCTTTTCTAAAAAATGTGTTATAAGTTATGTTACAGCGTGTCTCCACCAAAAATGAATACTGACACTGGCAGGCCCCTTGTGTGTGATTCCATGATCTACATGTTAGATCCTGTACTTTTTCTCGAATTACACGTGTTTAGGGATAAAATGGCCAGTCTATGGATGGGTTGACTTACACCCTTATTTGTTAATTTTTGTGGTTGTTTATTTGCTGTTCTAATTTTGATTTCATTTCTATTGTGAAACCTTTATTTTTGACATTTTGACACTCTGTGTGTCGGTGGTTGACGGGTGCTCTGGTGTGGTTTGCTTCTTCTTTCCTATGAAATATCTATGGTCTTTATCTCCCCTTCTTCTTTTTTATGTTTGTTACTCTCTTGTAACACCTCTAATTTTCTGGCGCTCATATAACCTTATGCTGTTGCGAGCACCGTACAACCTCTACAAAAACAAAACACTGTGTGGCCGCAAAAGATATTCTCGATGATTAAAACAGAGCTGGTGTTTTAGATAAAGTTATCTCTATCAACATATTGCTATACGTCGTCAAAGAGAGTTGAAAGCTTGAAAATTAAAATTAATGGCAACTTTTTTTGGCCACTTTTGCCTTTTTTTCGGCAACTTTTGGACTGAAAAATGGCAACAAACACAGATGCTAGGTTGATAATGTCATATGTCACACACTTAGATAGTAGTTCTGTTGGTAATAGTATAAGCATTCTCTTTCCAAGGTACTGCAACCCCCACCCTTCCCCTTCCTTTCCATACAAGCTCCTGAACAGAGCTCACATTTGCATTTTATTACATTTCACTGTTTGCCGATTCAGTGTGCAATACTTGTACAGTCCTCTCCACTTGTGTCGAAGTCACTTGAGTTGATATTCGATTAAGTTGATATTTGTCTCGGTTCTGTGCACCTCTACTTTACATAAATTTTTTATTGAAGTGATACTGTTAATGATAAGGTGTGTTCAACTCAAACATAAATGTGTTGGAATTGGAGTGCTGTTTTTACCCTTACCTGCAAGTTTGCAATGACTGAATTGATTTTTGTGTGTATCATCAGTTTTGACAGAGGTGATAGCGTACTTTAAAAAAACAACACATTATGGGCCAGCTGTTCAGATTTACAAAGACCAAGAATTTGAAGATTTTGTTGCAGTTTCTTAATCTGTTGTATCAGTTGCATGTGCTCATGGCCTTGGAATATTTTATTTTGGCAAATTCTAGATTCTAATGTTGGGGGGGAAAAAAGCAAGAAATATATAGTCGAACTTGACATGACGGCCACCTGTACAAACGGCCACTTTCCTTTCCCCCCCTTGTGTTTTTTTCTTTATAATTTAGCTGTGTAAAACGGGCACTTGTCCAGCGCGGCCGCGACCGCCCTATTTTATCAACCCACGGCCAAATCTACCTGCCTAAGACGGCCAGACTTAGTCAAAAATATGCTTTTTCCACTGATGTTGTGGACAAGCCGTCATAATCATTATTCATTCGCCTGTTGTTGTTGTCGGTCCCTTTAATGGATGAAACGATCATGTTGCTTAGGTCGCTCCCAATGTTTTCCCAAGCTGACCAAGGGGTAACAATAAATTTTCAGCCGCTGGTAAGGGAAGCATGTGATCCGTCATAACCTATAAGGCCCGCCCACAACTCAGTCTGTAAACCCAGTCCATAACAAAAGAAGTCAACACAAACTCGCAACAGAAGTGTTGCTCGTTCTCTGAGTGGTGGCGACCCATTTATTTGTCTCATTATGACACTTGGCCTTCCTCGTCTGAAACATTTCGTTTTGTTTTGACCTTTCCCGGCACCATAATTTAAAAAGGAACTAGATCTAGCGAAACCTTCGGAAAAAATGCAGTGGGTTTTATTTTTCAATATATATCCATATATTTTGACGAGCGCCTGATTTCACCATCATGCCTCACATATGTAGACAAAGTAGGTGAAATTGTTAAAAGAGTGAAATAGTTGGGGGTTTTTCTCTCTCCTGAAAAAATTCTGCTCTTTGAGCTTAATTGGCTTATTATTAATACTTTTGAACAGTCTGCTGGCGACCTGTAGAGTCGGTCAATGTGCCGTCGGCCCACATAGTGCAGTGCCTCATTAAGACGAAGAGGGGTGCACTAGAAGTATTGTGTGTTTATGAGTATGACATCACAATACAATAACCAGATCTGCAACAGTTCTTGGAATCAAGGTGGAAGTAGGCCCACTATGCGGCCCATAGACTTGATTTATTAACAGTACAAGTGGTCACTGTTGTCTCTTATAAGTTATATTGCAAGTTTTACTTTAATTATCTAATCTTCAGTCGCTGACTAGTAAACTTGTTGCACAATAATCTTTTAATTCCAAGCGATCGTTCTCATTCAGATCCAATGGCTATGTACAAAAAAGCAAAAATACCACTTGAGACCATAGTCACCTTTTTTGGGGCGTCAAGATTTCATTTAAAAATCCAGCACTTTGTTACAAATTTTCCACAAATAAGCTTTCTGTTACTCTCTCCACTCCAACCACTGACTGATGGTAACACTTGAGACATATTTATTGCTCAACATTTTGTTTTATTTTTATCCATTAACTCTCATTATTACATAGAGTTTGACTGTTTGTTGTTCTTCTTTCAGGCCGCTGATGGGAAACTGGTTTGGCAGAAGCTGCCCAAAGATATGCCTCTCTATTACCTCTCTGTAGGTTTGGTGTCTGCTGGTGTCCTCCTGACGTTTTACACACTCAAGCAAATGGCAACACCTCCTAAAAATGAATGATGAATGAATTTTTTAGTCAAAAAGTGTACATTTGATTGATTCATGTTGCTATTTTTTTTCCCCACATGACTGGTGGTAAATTATTAATTGTTGTTTTCAATGATTGTCTAAAATTGTCTTTGTGTGGACAACAGGAGACTGAGTGATGCAGAATACTTGTATGGTATGAATAAGGAGTAAGAAAAAAAGACAGTGATGTGATGAACTCCTCACGGTTTTGTGCTTTGAATGGCTCAGTGAATTTTGTTGCAGAGATGAATTGAATTGACATACTAAGCTTTGAGTCAAGACTTTATTTTTTACTCTACAATCTTTGTTTGTCTAGTTATCATGTCTCTGCACATGTTTTCTGACTCTAAAGACATACTTAACACAGTCCTTGATTTTATAGGAACGAATTAAAAGTGGAAATTTGAAATCTTGGTCTCATGTTTTGAATTTTTATTTATGGAGTCTGTTTTCGAAAATGAACTGATGACCTCACGAGTAGCATTATTAGTAGGGAGTGCTTATTTAGGCCACATATGACCTAAATAAGGTAAGGGAGGGGGGTTTAGCTTATTTAGGCCACAGTGGACTGTGGCCTAAATAAAGTAAGGGAGGGGGATTTAGCTTATTTAGGCCACACATGCTCAAACTACCCTTTTCAGGCAACTGAGTTCGTTCCACTTTCATAATGGTGCACCTTTCTCATTTAGTACGGTTTTGTCTCAGTGTACAACTTAAAAATCATAATCATAATGAATGTTGTAAAGAACAAAGCACAATACGCAAAATTTTGCTCAATCCCAATGGTTTGAATGAGGGCCAGATTTTTCCTTCATGGAGGGGCAAAAGCTAGGCTACCATTTTGGCACACTTTGGTCAAATGAAAAGGTCAAATCCTCCGAATGGACTTACGGGTTAAATTTGGGGTATAAAAAGTGTGTACACTACGTGGCTGAGTCAAAGTTACACTATCTTTGCCTGAGAGACACTCTCTCGTACTGTCTCGTCGTAGTAGTACATGTAGTAGTAGTAGCAAAGATCGTGTAGAGAATCTTTGGTAGTAGATTCTATCTTGTAGACAGTTTTGTGAACGTGCTCGCGGCAGGGCGAATCGGCCTTGATAAGCCCCGTAGACTTTTGTGATCGGCCACGAAGCCTCGTGTTTTGATGGATCTAGATCTAAACAACTCAGTGTTAATCGCACTGCCACATCCGACAGGCCTAGATCTACATCTTTTTAAAAAAAGGAAAAGAAAGATCATCAAAATGGTTGAATTCGCGTGAAAATCGATTCGGTAGAACTAGAACTATTAAAATTTGCTTCTGAAAACAAGGCAATTTTTATACGAAGGCCATTTTTATAACTCGATGAAATAAAAACTACTGGCTGTGTACTGTGTTATTCTGTATAAATTATGAAACTTCAGGACGTATTATTATTTTCCAGCATCTTTTGACGCCTGAGCTGTAGAGGTTGAAGTTTTCACAACACTAAATCTAGATCTAGTAATTTAATAGGGCTTTCCGTAAAAAATGCATAGATCTACAAAAGCTGAACCACCGAATCGACCGGTCAGCGGCCCGGGCACCTCGCTCTCCCCTGCACACTGTGATAACGTGTTGCTTCGGTATCGCATATATTCAACTATTAATACGTGCGGCTATGGCAATTGGGATGTACTGACTGACTAAAAATTCCGTTTCGTTTTTATTTTAGCATATGTTTGACTTTAATAGTGCAGGCGATAGCTAGATCTAGATTCCCTGTCTAGAATCGGTAGTAGCAGACCTATCTATGCTAGAAGCAGCCAGAGAGCCTACAACTGCTAGATCTAGATCTAACTTTTTGCTATGCCTTTGGGCTTTGGAATTGAAATAAAACGAATTGCACAGTTCTAGTTACTTTTAGATTCAGCAACTAACTGTATTTCCAGAGTTAATAATAACAAATCTCAGCTTAACAATCACTTTTACTTTTTTAAAGAAAAATTAGATCCAACTTTTTTTTCTAAAATCTGTTTTGCGCAAACTTAAGATTTTCTCTACTTGTAGAGCACAGAATTTACATTGTAAGCCTCTGCTCAGTCTTTTAGTATACATAATAAAATACACACACACACACACATATATATATCACATATATATATATATATATATATATATATATATATATATATATATATATATATATATACAGAGAGAGAGAGAGAGAGATCTATATAATCATTTTATGTGATTTTCGGGATGTTTTTAAAACTTTTTTTTTAACATGTCATAAAATCAAATTGTGCATTTTTCTTTGATAATAAGAATAACATTAGCAGTGGACTTTTTTTTAGACAGCGAGTCTCTGATTCAATATTTTAAAGAAATGCTAATCAATGAAAATTGCAAATTGATAATAGTTTAGTCCTGTAGAGGATAGGTGGACTCCGGGGTCTGCAGAGCGAAATACTAGGTTTTAGGATGTGAACCCCGGAGTCACCGTAGTGAAATAAGGTTTGGTTTAAGTAAGGATTGGTGGACCCCGGGGTCAACGTAGTGATAAATAAGCAGATTTAAGGTGGATCCCGGGCCCCGGGGTCTACCTAGGGAAATACTAGGTTTTAGGACAGGTGGACCCCGGGGTCACTAGTGAAATAAGTAGGTTTCTTTAAAGATTGGTGGACCCCGGGGTCAGTATAGTGAAATAAGTAGGGTTAATTTTAAAAGGATTGGTTGACCTCGGAGTCACCATAGCCATAGAGGTATAAGAAGGTTTAATTAAGGATTGGTGGACCCCCGGAACACCTTGATTAAACCTACTTATTTTACTACGGTGACCGCAGGTTCCACCTATTCTAAAACCTAACTAGTATTTCGTTAGGTAGACCCTGGGGTCCACCTTAAACCTACCTATTTTACTACGTTGACTTCAAGGTCCACCAATCCTTAAAATTAAACCTAGATCTACATGTACTTATTTCACTACGTTGACCCCAGGGTCCACCAATCCTTAATTAAACCTAGATCTACTGATTTCACTATGTTGACCCCGGGGTCCACCAATCCTTAATTAAACCTAGATCTACTTATAATTTCACTACATTGACCACGGGCTCCGCCAGTCCTACTATAAAATAACTGAGATCTACTTATTTCACTATGTCTGGCCCCGCGGAAAATTGCATTTTTGAAATAAAAAAATTGCAAGGTAAACTGCCTAAAAATTGCAAAAAATTGCAACCTTCCCATCCCAGGCGCATTAATACGGGCTTAACATTTTTAGTTTAAAAAACATGACAGTTTTGAGTACCGGTAGCATAAAAGCAGCACAGCCTTTAAAAAAATCATGACCCATTATACAAATTCATCAAATGTTATTAACAACATTTACTAGTAACAAAACACGAGTACGTGAACAATAAGGTTATCGACCAAATATAATATGATAACGCGTGACACAAAATAATGGAACCATCCGTTTTCGTAATAAGTTTTAAATGAAGGCATAAAATTTGACCAAATTTAGTACATACCAGGTACTTGGTTCATGCAAAAATCAAGAAGTGTATGAGGTTTAGTCTATAAAAAAAAAAAAAAACTGACGAGGGATTTTCGAAACAACCTCTAAAATCTAAATACAAAATAAGCTTATGCTCCAATCAAATAGATTCTATATCCTGTTCTATTTTTCTCTTGAAATCTTCGATACAGCGGTAATCTGTATTTAGATCTATTAAAACCGGCATGGTATTGTTTTAACACTAAGTCAAATCGTAAAATATAGCAATTTTTCCCCCCCATTTATAAACAATAGTAATACATGTACTAATGTTGATCTAGATCATTTCTATAGCACCCACTCCCGTGTGAACGCAGCTTAAAGGCGTTTTACATAACGGAATGTTTACCTACACGGTACGCGGACACCTAGCCTCAGTGTTTACGTACACGATAACCGGCAACCGGGCTCGTAGTCTCAGTGTCACGTATACGGTGACAGGGCAGTTGGGAATTCCAAGTTCAGTTTTTGTCATCCGGTGTTGTCTTCAACTCCAGCCCTCCCCCGACTGTACCTTTAAAAAAAATATAATCAATAATTCCTCCCATTCCGGAGCTCTATACTTCGTAGCTCACAGACTTTGAATGAGCTTTGGTGACCCCAACCGGTACTCACAATGTGATGCGAAAGCACAGGTTCACTGACCGGTAACGATGGCGAGCCCGACAAGACGCGTGTATAACTTTCTTTTTAAAAATTTTATTTCAACAAGTGACAGCACAGGGCAAATATTGGTTTTCTTTCATTCCGGTTACCGTGTACGTAGATACTGAGACTAGGTGCCGGGTTACCGTCATGTAGACATATGCATCATGTATGAACAATATTCACGCGCGCGCACACACACGCACACTCACTCACGTACACCTCACGCGCGCACACACCTACTTTCTTATCACACGCGCACGCAAAGGCCTAGCCCAGAGAAACCCGGCCACCTTCTCGGCCTTGCCTATGTCTTGTGTTGTACCTGATGCATTCGGGCCTGAATTTCTTGTTATAGTTTTTAGTTTTAGAGTACGCTCAGTGGGCTTAAGCTGGGCCGCGGACACCTAGCCTCAGTGTCTACGTTACTACGTACACGGTAACCGGGCACGTAGTCTCAGTGTCACATACATAGTAACTGGGCATTTAAGAATTCCAAGTTCAGTTTTTGTCATTCGGTGTTGTTGCCTTCAACTCCATCCTCCCCCGACTGTACATTTAAAAAAAAAATCAATAATTCTCCCATTCCGGAGCCATATACTTCGTAGCGCACAGACTTTGAATGAACTTTGGTGACCCCAACCGGTACTCACAATGTGATGCGAAAGCACAGGTTCACTGACCGGTAACTTTTTTTTATTTCAACAAGTGACAGCACAGGTCAAATATTGGTTAATTTTCACCCCGGTGGGTTACCGTGTATTACAGCTTTTAGACTCTAAATTAGAGTACGCTCAGTAGGCTTGAGCTGGGCCGATACCATGATTTACGTAGGCCTATCGGCTCTGTACGCGCACCTTTTCGTATTTAATTAAAATTAAAGCGTTAATGTATTTTTGCCTAAAATTGCGAAAATAGCTAAAAATTGCGGGTTTATTGAGGAACTCGACGAAAAACGCGGCCGCAAGACCGCAATTTCCTGGAGGGCCAGTAGATTCTATGCAAGGAGATTAAAAGTATTAGTTCTACGCTCCTTGATTCTATGTCATTGTTAGTCTGATGACTCAACTGAAAGTAGCCAATGTTGGTCTAGATTTCTCTTTTTTCTTTGATTTTTAAAATTGATTTTAGTTCTTTCTAATCATCTCTTTTAAAAAAATAAATCTGTAGGCTCATATGTTGTTCGATTCTTTGTTTTTGTGCATGATAGTGATAACGTAATGGAGTTGAATGTCTTATTA